CACACAGCTCTGTATGTGTATTATCTTGTTCCACACAGTCTGTATTCGTGTATTATCTCTGTTCCACACAGCTTATCTTTTAAAAAAAATTTTTTCACACCACTCTGTATTCGTATTTTTTTTTCAACGGCTCTAATTCGTTTTTTTCACACATTTTTGTTTGGATCCCCCGGTTCCCAAGTTATAAATTCCGTCCCCAGTCTTTTACTGAACCGGGAAAAAAGCGTAACTTACCTGTTCAAATTAACTGGATATGTAGCAATTAACATTTAAAAAACTTTTATTTTCAGAAAAAAAAGGAAGAAAAAAAATATTTTTGTTAAAAACAAGCTTAAAAAGCGTTTAAAAAAAACATAAAAAAAAAACAAAGTAAAACCCCCCCCCCAAAAAAAAAAAATAAAAAAAAAAATTTCGGGAAAGTAGGTTTTTTAAACTAATTTAAGTTATTTTCATAAAAATTGGAAGACAAATTTTTTTTTTTTTTTCCTTTTGAAAAAAACATTTAAAAACCAAAAACAACAACCCCAAAACACCCCCAAAAAACCCACCCCAAAAAAAAATGGAAAAAATTTTTGGAAGGGGAGTAGGGACGGTTCTACATTTTTTCCAATTGTAAGTAGCCCGGGGGAAATTTGTGGTGGGGGGGGGAGGGGGAGGAAAACTGGTGAGTACACCCCACCACACACACAAAAAAAACCAAAAACACACACACACCAACCACACACACACACACACACACACACACCATTCTAAAGTATTTTAACAAAACAACATAAAAAACGGTTTAATTCCCCAAATTCAATTGATCGTGGCGTCAAAAAAGGATTTGTGTACTGGCCCCCCCCCAAAAAAACCCATACAAAACAAACGACAAAATAAAAAAATTTTTTTAAAGTAATTTAAACAAATAAAAAGTAATTTAACTAAAGGATCGTGGGGGAGAGGGGGATCGGGGAGGGACTAGGGGAAAATTGGGGGACTAGGAGGATTGGGGGTAAGGATTGGGGGAAATAGGAGGATCGTGGAGGATGAGGGGATGGGAGGGGCTGAAAGGGTCGTGGAGGACTGAAAAGGGGGTTCGGGAGGATGAAGAGGACTGGGGACTGAAGAGGTCGTGGGGGACTGAAGAGGATCGTGGAGGACTGAAGAGGATCGGGAGGATGAGAGGGTCGGGAGGATGAAGGGATGTGGAGGACTGAAAAGGATCGTGGAGGACTGAGGAGGACGTGGGGACTGAAGAGGGGGGGGACGAAGGGGGGGTCGTGGAGGGGGGCTGAGAGGATCGTGGGGGACTGAAGAGGATCTGGGGGACTGGAGGATCGTGGGGACTGAGGAGGATCGTGGAGGACTGAAGAGGGTCGTGGAGGACTGAAGAGGGTCGTGGAGGACTGAGGAGGATCGTGGAGGACTGAAGAGGATCGTGGAGGACTGAGGAGGATCGTGGAGGACTGAAGAGGATCGTGGAGGACTGAGGAGGATCGTGGAGGACTGAGGAGGATGTGGAGGACTGAGGAGGGAATGTGGAGGATGAAAAGGGGGTGGGGGGACTGAGGGGATCTGGGGGGACTGAAGAGGATCGTGGAGGGCTGAAGAGGGTGTGGGATGAAGAGGTCGTGGAGGGCGAGGGGGATCGTGGGGGACTGAAAGGGTCGTGGAGGGGTGAAAAGGTCGTGGGGAGAAGAGGATTGGGGGGACTGGGGGATCGTGAAGGACTGAAGAGAAACGTGGGGATGAAGAGGGTCGTGAAGGGCTGAAGAGGATCGGGGGGACTGAGGAGGTCGGGAGGACTGAAGAGGATCGTGGAGGATGAAGGGACTGGGGGACGAAGAGGATCGTGGGGGACTGAGGAGGTCGTGGAGGCTGAAAAGGATCGTGGAGGATGAGGAGGACGGGGAGGCTGAAGAGGATCGTGGAGGGTGAGGAGGATCGTGGAGGACTGAGGAGGATGTGGGGGATGAAAAGGATCGTGGAGGACCTGAAAAAGGGTCGTGGAGGCTGAAGGGACGTGGAGGGTGAAAGGGGATCCTGGAGGACGAAGAGGATCGTGGAGGCTGAAGAGGGTCCTGGAGGACTGAAAAGGATCCCTGGAGGACTGAAGAGGTTTTGGAGGATGAAGAGGATCGTGGGGGACTGAGGGGATCGTGGGGGATGAAGAGGACATGGAGGCGAAGAGGATCGTGGGGACTGAGGAGGTCGTGGAGGATGAAAAAGGGTCGTGGGGGACTAAAAAGGATCGTGGGGATGAGGGGATCGTGGAGGACTGAAGAGGGTCGTGGAGGATGAAGAGGGTCGTGGAAAGGGCTGAAGAGGGTCGGGAGGGGCTGAAGGGACGTGGAGGGACGAGAGGATCGTGGAGGGCTGGAGAGGATCAGGGGGACGAAAAGAACGTGGAGGACTGAGGAGGTCGTGGAGGACTGAAAAGGGTGTGGGGGGACTGAGAGGATCGTGGAGGACTGAGGAGGATCGGGAGGATGAAAAGGATCCGGAGGACTGAGGGGGGATCTGGAGGATGAAGAGGTCGTGGGGGAGAGGAGGACATTAAGGACTGAGGAGGATCGTGAGGATGAAAAGGATCGGGAGGACTGAGGAGGATCATTAAGGACTGGGAAAGGAAACGGGGGACTGAAAAAGGGTCGTGGAGGGGAGGAGGATCTTAAAGGGTGAAGGGATCGTGGGGGGGCTGAGGAGGTCATTTAAGGGTGAGGAGGATCCCAGAAAGGGTCGAAATATCCGAAAAGAATTTTGCTGTTGGGTTTGGAGGCTCATGATCCAAGGAACTGAAAATTTTTTCCTTTCTTGGGTCAAACTTGATTAACCCCCCATTGCCCACTGCAGTTATCTTCTATTTTTCACCTCCTAAAGTTTTCAAATTAAATTTAAAATAATAATAATAAATTTAAAAATAATAATAAAATTTAAAAATAAAAATAATTAATATTTTTATAATAAAAAATTATTTTTATTATTTTTATTGTTTTATTATTTTTAATTATTTTTTTATTTTTTATTATTATTATTATTATTATTATTATTATTATTATTATTATTATTATTATTAACGCTATTACTACTATAATTACTACCGCTACTGCTGCTATTGCTACTACTGCTACTACCAATTCTGCTACTACTGCTGCTGCTTCTAATAATAATAATAATAATAATAATAATAATAATAATAATAATAAACACAAGCGTAATGATACATATCATTAGTCACATTAACCCTCAGATAAATGCTCCAGAGTTCAGAATAACATCATCATACATCCCCTGACAGACGGCTCATCATCAGCAATAATTTCCTAAATCTAGTGCTGTGTAGAATCAGTGTTGTCGTGGCTGAGCGTAGGGACCACACCTACGCTATCAAGACTTGTTGAAGCAGTGGGGGATGCTGGCGGGGGCCTGCAGGAGCTGAGCCCGACGGAGCTTCTCCATGTTCTCCAGCAGGAGGGTGTTGGAGGGCTCCTGGGCGTGTGCCTTCAGGTAGTGCCTCCAGGCCAGTGTATACTCCCCCTGCAATGTTAGAAGAAAGGGTCGAGGCTTAGGACATCCATGTTCACGGATGTTAGACTGTTAAGAATTTCGGGAAAAGAGACGTGCAGCAAAAAGACCTTTATTGGTGTCTATATTAGAGACATTTATCAGGGACTTTAAGTGCTCGATGAAGCGTCTTCGACTACGCCATACTTCAACCGCAGGAAGAATTTGCTTTTATCATATGATACATCACAATAACCGCTGTTTTCTATCACTGCCAACTGCGTCAGCACTAAGTAGCCTGAAGGTGATGCATCAGCAGCAGTAAACCTAACAAAAAGTTATGTCTAGAATAAATAAATATAAACCACTGCCGACAATAATAATGATGAGAAAACGTAAGTTGCATAAAGAGCATTTACATGGAGAAGCTCTATCAAGTCACGTAGAGCTTGGTAAAGCTCTACATAAAGGGAATCGTAATCCTAGTCAAAGCTTGCTCTACAGGGTATACCTTTCCTTCACTAGGGCCAGCATCTCAGCAATACAGAGGCCAGTTTTTACAAGACCTTTCTTAGTATGGTCACTGGTTAACAATGATCACTAGAGGCTGGGCTACTGTCTTGATGTTATGACTTGGCGTGTACAGGACAGACATCAATTGTTTAGGCAATAATACAACCTGAGGGACGTGACCTATGGTTACTCTCACAATCACAATAGATCTTCAAGGCAAATAAAAATGGAATCAGATTCCTTTAAATGAGGCATCGGTAGGAAAAATTATTATAAATAATCGGAGGCTAATTCCAGTGCAGAAAAGTGCCACTGATGCTGCCACCTACAACGCACCTTTGTATGATACAACGCTCCGAGATTGACGTGAACGTGAGTGAACGTAGGTTCCAGCTGCACAGCGAGAAGGTAACTCTGTAACAGACAATACCAACTGTATCATTAATGACGCCGTATTTTAAATAAAATAAAAAAAAAAAAAATCCAGATTACATAATTTCTCTCTCTCTCTCTCTCTCTTTATTATATATATATATATATATATATATATATATATATATAATATATATAATATATATAAAATATTTGAGTCTTATAGTGAATTTCGCATGCAGACACCTGAAAGGATGAAATGCCAAAATTTATCACTGAGGCTGATCGTTACATTGTATGGTCACTGAAATGGTCACCATATGGAGTAAGGCTGGCACAATGATATTGGGGTGAGAGATTTATGGTGCTGTTGGGCGAAGAGATAGGCGTCTGGTATGGTATATTATATATGTAGAGCTATGATGAGCTGTAAAAGTAGTCTTCCAGTGACTGTACGCTCAGCACCTGACGGTAGCAACTCCTCAACTCTGAGTACACCGCTGCTGTTGCTTCACCTGGCTATCACCATGATAGTACCTAGTTAGTTGATTATAAGTTGGCAAGATGATTGGGTGAGTGATGGAGATAAGTTTGTTGGGCGGCCGGTGGGCGATATGAGAGGGCGTCCTTGAGTGTGGTTAGTGGAAGTGTAGAGCTAGTGAGAGCTGGAAGAGAGCTTCCAGGTGAGCTGGATCACGGCTCAGCACCTGCTGTAGCAACTCCTCACTCTGCAGGTAACACCGCTGCTGTTGCTTCACCTGCGCCTATCACCATTATTATTATTATTATTATTATTATTATTATTATTATTATTATTATTATTATTATTATTATTATTATTATTATTATTATTATTGTCGTCATTCTGTAAGTTTCTATCTTTCTAAAGTTTTTCTGTTTCAGTCGATCTCTCTATCTTTCTATGGTTCCCTGTCTATATTTCTAACTACCTATAACCTTCCCTCGTTTAGCTAATACTGGGTGATGATCGCTGAATTTTGATATGGAGTGGAAGAGGAACCATCACATGTAAGGATGAGTTACGTTGTCTTCCGTGGCGGACCGGTAAGCCAGTGGAACACCTCGGTTAGATGACCACAGACTCCACGGAGCGGGTCTTGATGTGCCTAAGACCCACGCAGGAAATCAACAATTTTCCTGACAGGGAAAACACCACCACCACCACTACCAGCCTCCCTCACTGCAGTGACAAGAGGATAGGAAAATAAGTCGCAATTAGTTGTAGTTATTAAATAATTGCTAACCCGCTCTTTAAAGGGGAAACTTTAAACGACGTTTTGATCTGTCGAGGACGTTCGTCAAGCCACATGTGATAGAAACGTCATCTAAACTCCTCTCTACAAAACGTGGGTTATTTGACAAGGAAAAAAAAAGTGGGTAATAGTGGTGGTTTGTTTGTCAGGAAACGGGACAAGCGTCTCCCGTGACAAGTTTTTGTTGTGTGGTAACCTGGTTAATGAATCATCCGCTGCCTTACCTGAGCTACTCCTAATAAACCCAAGTTAAAACAGCAACAGAAGACAACCACCTGGTAGTGTCACAAGATGATGATTCCCTTACTGTTACCTATAACATGTGGTAATAGAAAGAGCTAAAACTAACCAGGTAGACCCTTGAGGAGAGGCTCTCTGGGTGGTGCGTCAACACGGTCCTGAAAGCGCTCTCAGCTTCCTCCAGACGACCCGTGTTCAGATACAGCTTACCCAGACTCTCTCCTGTCTCAGCCTCCCACGACACCGCCAGTGCTCTGTGAGGTAAATTGATAGGGAGGTTAGCAGGGTAAGGGTTTCGCGAGGCAAGTAGGAGTTGTGAACTATCTGCTAAGTCAAGGAGAGATTCATTAAGAGGCGCCTGAGTTTATTTTCGTAAGGTAAAGTCTAAATTCACCTTACGAAAATTGACAAAACAAATGCGGTAATAATTATGGACGCGGTAGATTATAGGGGAAAAATAACGTATTATTAGAAGACATTGGAACTGACTTGCCCATTAAGCTTGATAAAGCTCTTCTCCAGCGAAGCGTTGTCTTGGTCAAGGCTTGATCCGTACTAAACGTCCCCTAAATGACTCAAACAGATTCGTGGTGTTGTGGTAATGGTGTTACATGCAGAGACGTAGTGCCCGTAGATGCTAATATAAAGCAACAAATTGTGGAACAAGCTTGAACTGGGACAACGTTTCACCCTGTATAGAGCTTCATTAAGTCATAACGAAGCTCTACCCCTACCATAACGCAGTCATCATGGAAATGATATCAGCCATTCGTCTGCAAACAGGAGACAGGTTGGTAGACATTTTGAGAGTGAAGATGTTGCTGGAGCTTCACGTAAATTCAGACTTATTTTGAATTTCAGTCGTTAGTTCAGAAGCAAAAAAAAAAAAAAGTCCAGCAAATAGGGTGAGATTTCAGTGTATTTGTAATTGATTATATTGAAAATAAGTAAAATACAAAAAAAAATTTTGTATTAATGTTGGTAGAATTACCGACAATATGTTGTTTAAAAGGGCACAAGTGCTGTGTACAGTTCTCATTACTTGTGAGAATGTCTGCATAACAGCAAACAAAAGTTATCAATAAAAGAATACAAAAGTAAATAAAAGTATACAAAAGTACTCAATAATAGCATACAAAAGTACTCAATAATAGCATACAAAAGTACTCAATAATAGCATGCAAAAGTACTCAAAAGTATACAAAAGTACTCAATAAAAGCATACAAAAGTACTCAATAAAAGCATGCAAAAGTACTCAAAAGTATACAAAAGTACTCAATAAAAGCATACAAAAGTACTCAATAAAAGCATACAAAAGTATTCAATAAAAGCATACAAAAGTACTCAATAAAAGCATACAAAAGTACTCAAAAGTATACAAAAGTACTCAATAATAGCATACAAAAGTACTCAAAAGTATACAAAAGTACTCAATAAAAGCATACAAAAGTACTCAATAAAAGCATACAAAAGTACTCAAAAGTATACAAAAGTACTCAATAAAAGCATACAAAAATACTCAATAAAAGCATACAAAAGTACTCAATAAAAGCATACAAAAGTACTCAATAAAAGCATACAAAAGTACTCAATAAAAGCATACAAAAGTACTCAAAAGTACTCAATAAAAGCATACAAAAGTACTCAATAATGGCATACAAAAGTACTCAATAATAGCATACAAAAGTACTCAATAATGGCATACAAAAGTACTCAATAATAGCATACAAAAGTACTCAATAATAGGATACAAAAGTACTCAAAAGTATACAAAAGTACTCAACAAAAGCATACAAAAGTACTTAAAAGCATACAAAAGTACTCTAAAGTATACAAAAGTACTCAATAAAAGCATACAAAAGTACTTAATAAAAGCATACAAAAGCACTCAATAATAGCATACAAAAGTACTCAATAATAGCACACAAAGGTACTCAACAATAGCATTCAAAAGTACTCAATAATAGCATACAAAAGTACTCAATAATAGCATACAAAAGTACTCAATAATAGTATACAAAAACAATAAAATCATGAAAAAGTACTCAATAATAGCATACAAAAATACATAATAAGAACATCCAAAAGTACTCAATAATAACATACAAAAATATTCAATAAAAGCAAACAAAAGTACTTAATAATAGCATAAAAAAATAGTCAATAATAACATACAAAAGTACTTAACAATAGCATTCAAAAACACTCAATAAAATCATGCAAAAGTACTCAATAAAAGCATACAAAAGTACTCAACAATAGCATACAAAAGTACTCAATAAAAGCACGCAAAAGTACTCAATAATAGCAAACAAAAATACTCAATAATAGCATACAAAAGTACTCAATAATAGCATACAAAAGTACTCAATAATAGCATGATACAAGTCAGGCTTTACTGGGTGGAACAATTCACTGGCAAGAGGATGTTTGGTAATGTGTTGATCCGTCTTCAGCTGGCCACACGATGATGCTCCGAGACGGACCGAAACGTTGCCTATGTATCATTGTGGATTATTATTATTATTTTAAAGGAGGAGAAACGTAAGTTACTGACCTCTTGTAGAGCATTTCTGCCTGGTTGTTGCGGTGGAGGGTCGCCAGGAGCGTAGCAGTGTTGACTAGCGTCTCCCTGTGTTGTGGGTCCAACAGGAGCGCTGTCTGGTAGTGCTGCAGTGCTGCCTCACCACGACCTGTCCACCACCAACACAGGTTACACTCGTCACCACCAACACAGGTTACAATCGTCACTACCAACACAGGTTACAATCGACACCACCAACACAGGTTGCAATCGTCACCACCAACACAGGTTACAATCGTCACCACCAACACAGGTTACAATCGTCACCACCAACAGAGGTTACACTCGTCACCACCAACACAGGTTACAATCGTCACTACCAACACAGGTTACAATCGTCACCACCAACACAGGTTGCAATCGTCACCACCAACACAGGTTACAATCGTCTCACACAACACAGGTTACAATCGTCACCACCAACACAGGTTACAATCGTCACCACCAACACAGGTTACAATCGTCACCACCAACACAGGTTACAATCGTCACCACCAACACAGATTACAATCGTCACTACCAACACAGGTTACAATCGTCACCACCAACACAGGTTACAATCGTCACCACCAACACAGGTTACAATCGTCACCACCAACACAGGTTACAATTGTCACTACCAACACAGGTTACAATCGTCATCACCAACACAGGTTACAATCGTCACCACCAACACAGGTTACAATCGTCACTACCAACACAGGTTACAATCGTCACCACCAACATAGGTTACAATCGTCACCACCAACACATTACAATCGTCACCACCAACACAGGTTACAATCGTCACCACCAACACAGGTTACAATCGTCACTACCAACACAGGTTACAATCGTCACCACCAACACAGGTTACAATCGTCACCACCAACACAGGTTACAATCGTCACTACCAACACAGGTTACAATCGTCACCACCAGCACAGGTAACAATCGTTACCACCAACACAGGTTACAATCGTCACCACCAACACAGGTTACAATCGTCACCACCAACACAGGTTACAATCGTCACCAACAACACAGATTACAATCGTCACTACCAACACAGGTTACAATCGTCACCACCAACATAAGTTACAATCGTCACCACCAACACAGGTTACAATCGTCACCACCAACACAGGTTACAATCGTCACCACCAACACAGGTTACAATCGTCACTACCAACACAGGTTACAATCGTCACCACCAACACAGGTTACAATCGTCACCACCAACACAGGTTACAATCGTCACCAACACAGGTTACAATCGTCACTACCAACACAAGTTACAATCGTCACTACCAACACAGGTTACAATCGTCACTACCAACACTATATCACTGGAGACATTAGAAGTAATCAGTCCCTCAGCCTTGGCCGGTGGCTGTCAGTCCTTCAGCCTTGGCAGGTGACTGTCAGTCTCTCAGCCTTGGCAGGTGGCTGTCAGTCGCTCAGCCTTGGCAGGTGGCTGTCAGTCTCTCAGCCTTGGCAGGTGGCTATCAGTCTCTCAGCCTTGGCAGGTGGCTGTCATTCCCTCATCAACTTGTCGGTATTGTATATCGTCAGTAATACGATACTAGAAAAGAAAATTGGGTGCCACAGCAAGACCAGCCAAGTGTTGTACTCTCCACTCCGAATACCATCGCAAGTACGTTCCGCAGGAACAAAATACCAACAGCTTCGTGGGCAAGGTGAGGCTACACCTACAGCCTTGTGGACAAGGTGTGGCTACACCTACAGCTTCGTGGGCAAGGTGTGGCTACACCAGCAGCCTCATTGTCAAGGAGTGGCTACACCTACAACTTTAAAATTAGCTGGTTAGGTACAAGAAGAGGTGTTGGCGGAAGTGAGTTGCAAAAGCCTAGCATCGGCCAGTGGGTCTGTTGCTGCGATGTTCCCTTTTTCTTGTGTTCTGGTGTACAGAGATCAACATAACCTATGTATGAACTATGATGAACTTCTTCCTTCTCCTCCTCGCAGAAAAAGTCAGTTGTTACACTGTGGTGAATATAGACGACTTCATTATATATTTTTTCACTATTACCACCTCGGGTTCAATACTTCTTCCCCCCCTCCCCACACACACACACTCCGGGAGGAATCAATTTGCTTTGAAGTTATCTGGGTAAGAGTTTCTTCTGGAGAGCTCAAAGTCTGCACGAGATTGCCCTGCTGGAGGTATCCACGAATCATATTTTCTTTCGATTTCTTCTGACGGATTTTTTTTTTGGGGGTGAATTTAAATTGCTCTGGAATTTTAGAAATACGTCATTTGAAGGTCGATGAAAAATTCCCGGATATTAAGGTGTGGACTAACCTGGTGATGGCTAGATTTTGGGCACGGATTCCGAAGGAGAACTCTATGTCATTATGGTGAGAGTTAACTAGATTTATCTGAAGAATATAAATCATGCACATAACCTCAGTTAACAGTAGAAGAAAGCGAGCGAGAGTAATTATATTCTCCTGTTAGGAGAACTTGCTTTCTCCAAAGCTAGGAACTAACACAGCGAGTCTCGGTAAAGATTTAGTCCACGGAACACTATATCAACAGCCAGAGCCATTATCCATTCCTCAGTTAATGATGTGCCCTCAATAAAAATAGTCCGACCACTCTTAAAAATTTTGAGTTCCCCCCTCAAAAAAAAAAAAATATGTATATATATACATATATATATAAACGTCTTATAAATAAAAATTCTTGTCTCCAAATACAAAAATCTAAATTTAAATGGCGTTTTAATCTTATAAACTGTTACTTGGGTGCATAAGAATTTTCCTCTTGAATCCTGAAGACGGTGACTGACCTTGTCACCGAAATACTGATAATTTTAATGAATTCAATAACACACACAAAAAAAGCTAGTCTTGCCTGCTACCTTGAAGGATGTATGAAGGGTGTTTTCTTGGGGGTCAACGCCCCCCTGAGGTCCTGTCCCAGACCAGTCTTGACTGACTGACGTGTCTTGACCGAACTTTCTTTGAGTCAGCTGATTTATCGAAATAATGTGAAAATATCAGCTATCAGAAATAAGAAACACTTCTCAGAAAAATAATTAGTGCAAGAGAGAGAGAAAATAATAATACAATAAAATAATAAAAAGAACAGCAATAATAATAATAATAATAATAATAATAATAATAATAATAATAATAATAATAATAATAATAATAATAATAATAATTAATGGGGGACGAACAGAGAGAACATAAACATCACATTGAAAGAGGGAGGTAAGAGAGGGTTCCAGCAGGTGCCAGGTGAGGGTAGACCGGCAGGTGCCAGGTGAGGGTAGACCGGCAGGTGCCAGGTGAGGGTGGACCGGCAGGTGCCAGGTGAGGGTGGACCAGCAGACATAAGAATCTCAAGTCTACTCTAACCTCCGGAGGTAATATGTCTGACTGCTGGTTGGAAGTTATTGTACAACAAGGGTCACTTCGGGTCACTGTTAGAAAAGGCTGCAGTAAGGAATATCTTCAATAAATAATGTCTGGTTACACATAGTATAGTTGCATTCTCCAGAGGCCTATATTAATAATAATAATAATTATTTTATTATTTTTATTATTATTATTATTACTGTTATTATTATTGATATTATTATTAACCCCTTCCTTGGCTCAAAATAATAATAATAATAATAATAATAATAATAATAATAATAAAGAATAATAATAATGATAATTTGCAGGAATCGGAGCAATAATTGCAACATCTGTAAGAGAAATAACAATCAGTACTAAAAGAGAGGTGAATGTGGTAGGGAGAGAGATACGTAGGCTGAATGGGAATGGGAGAGATGAGAAATGTAAGGAAGAGAAAGAATTAAAGGAGGGAAGGTAAGGGAGAAACGATGAACAAAGCTGAAGAGAAATGTCATCATTGGGGAGAAGGTGAAGCAAAGGTGGTGAAGTATAGCATGGCTTCGGTTAGTTACGGTTGTGCAGTGTTCCCCTCAGTGCTCCAGGAAGAAGGAAGAGGGGAAGAGAGAGAGAGAGAGAGAGAGAGAGAGAGAGAGAGAGAGAGAGAGAGAGAGAGAAGAGGTGAATGTGGTAGGGAGAGAGATAAGTAGGCTGAATGGGAATGGGAGAGATGAGAAATGTAAGGGAGCGAAAGAATTAAAGGAGGGAAGGTAAGGGAGAAAGCAATAAAAAAAAGAGAAAGGAGGCTGAGAGAAAGCCAGGAAGATACGAAAGATGGAAAGTGAATAATGAGAAACAGACGAAAGACAGAAACGAATAATTAAACGACAGTTACGAAGAAAGGTATACGACTTAAAGAGGAGAATATATAGGCAGGTGAAAGCTAGCGTGTTCACTGACCGCTCTTCTGCAGGAAGGCGGCGTAGTTGTTATATACAGCTGGGTCTGTGCTACGTGCTGCCAGCAGCGACAAGTGCAGGTTCTCCGCCTCAGTGTAGCGTCCAGTGTCCCTGTAGAGTCCAGCCAGTATAGATACGGCTTCAGTGTTGGTGGAGTCGTACCTCAGGCTCTCCTCCAACAGCGCCACCGCCTCTCCAACACGGCCCTGCTGTCTTGTGACGGAGAGATGAAAAGTATCATAGAGAGGTACAAGAGGCTTTTGGTACAAAGCCATGATTGTAGATGGTGTGGGAATATCATCTACCATCATGGTGGATATCAAACTTTATTATGCAGGACGTTCCGGTCTGGATGGAGTTTTAGCAAGTCATACTGGAAATCAGACTGAAAAAATACGGTGATGATTGTTGTCTAGAAAGGTTAAAGGCTTATTTAATACGTCTCTTTAATCCACTGAGGTGCTGGAAGGAGGAAATGAAAGCTACTTTTCTCCTTCAAAAGTTACGCACCTTCAACACCACTTTCTTGCCTCTTGACAACGAGGAGAGGGATAAAGGAAATAACTGCAGCCTCGTGCATCTAAGCTTAAGCTTCTTAACAGACGACGGAACGGAGAAGCTTGTTGGAATAAAGAAAAGAAGGGTACACAAACAAAAACGAAGTCGGGGGAAAACAAAAACGATGGTTATGCCACTCTACTAAGTACACCTTTCTAGTACTGTGTAAGGCTCCCAGAGCAGCTTGAATTCTTCGTGTCATGGATTCAGCAAAGTGGTAGAAATATTCCTTAGAGATTCTGGTTAATGTTGATATGATACCATCACACAGTTGCTGCAGATTTATCGGCTGCACATTCATGCTGCGAGTCTCCCGTTCCACCACATCATTAAAGTTTACGTCATGACACTATCATCTGCATGGCGCAGCAGAAATCGTGATTCGTTAGACCAGGCGACTTTTTTCCCACGCTTCAACTCACCAGTTTTGGTAAGCTTGAGCCTACTGTAGCCTCAGTTTCCTGTTCTTAGCTGAATGGGCTACAGCTGCTGCTGTAGCCCATTCAGTGAGGCTCTTCTGTATACTGCCATTGTAACGAGGTACTTGAGTTACTGTGTCTTCCCTATCAGCTTGAACCAGTCTGGCCATT